TGGTGGCAGACCTGTGATGCATCTTGTGGTGCTTCACCTGGTTCAGACTTCGAGCTGAGTGAACCTGGTTTATCGAATCCAAACCTTCAGCCTCAGATGGCCTCCTCAGGGCTGTGAGGACAGCGCTCGGCCCGGGGAACGCCTAGGAGGGAGCCTCCCTGAGTCTGCGGTTGGAGCAGGGAGCTGGATCAGGGCAGCCTTAGCAGATCCCAGGGGAGCGCCCGCTCTGGTCTTTGGAGGAGAGGGGAGGAGAGCAGGGGCACCACATCAAAGAGGCAGAGGGCCCGGAGGGCAAGAGTCTTGCAGTGTGAGGTTGCTGATTGCTCTTTAATAATAGTCAGGAGGGCAGAAAAGGCCAGTGTTCACACAGAGTGGGCGCCCTGCTCCAGGTCGGGCCGCGCTCGGCTGGGCCTCACCAAGCTCCCTGGGCTGGCTGGCTGCTTTTCTTCCCCTTTTTTTCATCTGTGACATCTGCTCGGTGCTTGTCCCTCCTGTGATACCGTCCCCCTCGCAGCTGTGCAGACCTCCAACTCTGTGCTGGTGCACGGAGTGCCCTGAGCAGACGGCCTTTTTGATGTGTGATAAAACAGAACCGAGCCACGGGGGTATGGTGAGCGGAGGCATCAGAATATCAATTAACCTGCTCGGAACAAAGCTGCAGCTCCAGAGTGGAAGAGACATTTCACTGAAGTGTCAGGAAGATGGATAATGTATTCTAATTAGGGCCTGACTGCTACCCCTGCACTGAGCTGCTCCTGGAAGTCAGGCCCGCGACCCTCACGGCGACCCTCACCAGTGCCCCATCGCAGCGGCGCCGGGGTGCTCCTTACTGATTTATGACTTCTGGCTTTGCCAGAATTCACAGCCGTTAACTTGCTCTCAACCAGACTTGCTGTTTCCTCCTGAAATTGTGGTCCATTTTGCAGCTGGGCTGCTGCACATAACCTCTATAAATGTGAGCGCTTTGGGGAAAACTAAGATCTTTTCTGGGCTTTAAGCCTGGGCTTCCGTCTCGAGGATGCTCCAGGACCCGCAGTCCCTGGCGCAGAGGCCGTGGTCACCGTGCCCTTCCTTCCCAGGGGGGCCGGTGCGGGGCTGCCTTCCCTAGAGAGCGTGGGGCTGCACTAGCCGGTGGGGGGTGCTGCCCTAAGAGGTCCCTTAGGGACCTCGTTTCTTTGCACCTGGGTGATCGGCCCACCTCCCTGAGTCTGAAAGGGTAGACGTGGAGAGTGGGTGGCCTGGGATTCACAGCCAAGCCCCCCACGTCCTTCTTTAAATTTCATATCCACGTCAGAACGATGCATCAGTGAGGCCAGGCTAATTAGGGAGATGTTCCTCATTTTGCTGCACTTTCCCTGTGTAATTGGAAGGCCCGCTTTCTCCAGCGAGAAGTCGGTGAGAGCTGTTCCCCTGAATAGTTCTAAAAGCTTTGGACCACATACTGATATCAGCTGCAAATTTATGGGCGAGCTTATAATGATTGCTCGGTAATGCAATATTAAAAGCGGGAGGTCCTTCTCAGGGCTGAGCGAAGGTGGAGTTCCAGCCTTCCGCCAGCCTCACAAAGTGATTTTGAAACAGAATCACCAGCCCTTGTCCTAGAAGCAGCGATCAGTGGGCCCCTACTCCCTCCCCTCCAAATAAGGGGAAAAATAAAGGGGTCCGAATGCAGCCAAAGCTCAGAACACTGGGGTTCGGCTTCCAGAAGCGTAGGTGGGGGAGCTCTCCGCCGCGGCGCCTCCTGGTTCCTGTGCCAGCGCGCACACCTGTAGGTGTTTGCGCTTTAAGAGCTGCCGCCAGCGCTGGGCTGGCTATAACAAGGACTTGAGGGAGCAAACGGCTGTTAAAAAGATGTCTTTTTGCACTTTTGCTTCATTAGTTCTAGAAACCAGGGGCTCCGTGGCTGTGCGTTCTCCTGCATAATTTAAGAAATTAATGAAAGCATGCCTGATTTTTCCAGTGCTCTTTACTCTGTAAATTTGTTTAGTTTTTTTTTTTAACTGTCAGTTGAGGCTGTTGGAACCTAAATATTTTAATATGGAAGAAATACGGGCCTCCTGTCCTTTTTTAAAGAAAGATATTTCTTGCCCTCATCCACATGGTGTTCTGTAAATCAGGCGTTATGAGTTATGTGTGACCTGGAGTCTGAGTTCACCACACCAGTCCATCCTCTGGATGGACTGCAACCAGGTTCTTATTAGGACGGAGAGGGAGGGGCCTATGGCAAAGTGGAGGGGGGTCCTGTTCTGGGAGCCAGTGCCAGAAACCCTGGCTTCAACTTTCAGTCGTCTGACCCCATCCACCACAACTGCAGAGTGGAGACCTGAGGCACCTTGCAGCTCTATTTCACTCTTCCAGACTCGCTCTGTCTACTTCATCCTGCTCTCAGGTCGAAAGCATCAGATTCTGTGTGTGTGTGTATAATTCTAGACTCACAGGATTTGAAAGAACTTTAGAAATTGTTTAATGTGAACATTGCTGAGGGACATAAAAAAAATACAACCTAAGCAAACGGGAAGATAATGTGTTGACTTGATATTGTAAAAATGTCCATTCTTCATAAATTAAACTGTACATTTAATGTCATTCCAAATCCTAGTAGAACTGATATTTTGAAACTTGACAAGATAGTTTCCTGCCTACTTGGAAGAACAAGTTTTTGAAAAAAGAAAAAGGAGGATCATATCCTATCAGATAGAGCAATAAACTATAAAACCACAATAAAATGTGAGGATGATACAAGAGCCTACAGGCAGAAAGATGCTGGAGCCAACATCATGTCAGCATTTAGACTGAGATAAAAAAAAAGGAAAGTGATGTTCAGAGGGGAGAGGATAGGCTGTTTCATAGATGGCATGGGGACGGTTGGAGGGCCACAAAGAAACAGGTTAGATCAAGACTCCCTTCATTCCTCAAAATAAACCATGGCTTTAGTAAATATTTAAATGTAAAGAGTAAAACTGTAAGAGATCACACTTTAAATGCAAGTAAATATCTATCAGCTTCTGCAGTGGCAAGGGCCTTTTTACACATCCATACAACGCCAGAATCTAAAGAGGAAAGCACTGACTGATTTGGCCAAAAACTCATGTGTTAGAAACAGTACCAGACACAAAATTAAAATGCCAGAGACAAACTGTGGAAAATGCTGGCAACGTTGTTTGCCCCAGAGTGTCTGTGGTAGCTTTTGCCAAAATGGGTTGATGTTCTTAATATGTAAAGAGCTCTTGTAAATAAATAAGAGGGTAAAACAAAAAATAAATTAATTAATTAAAAAGTTAAAAAAGGTGAGAAACAGGTGACAGTAAAAAAAATGGCACAAATGGACATTTTGGAAAAGAAAAAATTCAAATAGCTAATAAACATATGGAAAACCTGCTGAACCTCATTTGTGATCAAAGAAATGTAAGTTAAAGCAACAATGGTATACTCTACTCTGTGGACAGATCGTCCCCTAGGATTATGCCTGACAGAGATGCAGGGAAACAGGTGATCTGGAATGGGATTCATAAACTGGTGGGCAGTTTTGTAGCCTGATGTGGCGACATATATCAAAAAGTTATAAGAGAAGGTATCAGCTTTTAGAAATTTATCTTGAGGATATCTTAGGTACATTAAGATGTATATACAACATTTGTTTAAATAATAGTTCTTTATAATGGAGCAAAACTAAATGAACAACAGTCTGTGATCCGTTAACATTTGACGGGTCAGTTCACGCAATGCCTGGCAGCTCTGAAAGCTCCCGGGAGAAGAGCGCTTTGTGACGTGGGAAGACGGGCATGAGACCTTCTCACTGTGCGAAAAGCACAGGCTGCCCGCAGTCTGTACAGTGTGAACTTCTTTATCCCCCTCGGGAGAAAAACAGATCTGTGTGGGTGTGAAGCCTGGAAGGAGGTGGACCACAGTGTTAACAGTGGCTGCTTTGAGTCAGTGGTGTTATTAGTGACTAGTCTTATTATGTCCGCTTTTTAGTATTTTCCGCACAGTGTGGAACAATCGTGTGTTATTTTCATGGTTGGACTTAAGGAGTTAATAAAAATAGTAAATCTTCTAAATCAGTTCCCCAGCTGTGCCAAGAAGGGGCTGGCTGATGCCTGAGGGAGTTCAGCCCTATAGCAAGTTCACTAAGGAGCAGAAACTTGAACTCAGGCCTCTTAATGATCAAGCTTCTTAAGAACAAGTTTTGGAACTTGCTCTTAAGTGGGAGTTAGGGATTTGCAAATACTAACTACTATGTATAAAATAGATAAACAGCAAGGACCTACTGTATAGCATAGGGAACTATATTCAGTACCTTGTCATAGCCTATAATGAAAAAGGATATGAAAAGGAATATATATATATATATATAAAACTGAATCACTATGCTGTATGCCAGAAACTAACACAACATTGAAAAGCAGCTACACTTCAATTAAAAAATAAATTAAAAAACAAGAGTTAACCATTAAAAAAAAAAAAGGAAAAGTGGGCTTTTGTTTTCACCCCAGTGGTTCCTTATCTCTCATATCTAAGACACTCTCTTTAGGAAATGTGGAAAGAGCTGCAGCACAGAGGCGTTCCTCTTGGTGTTATTTATGACAGTGGAAACTGTGTGCCGTTGGAACGTTCAGTCATGGGGCATGTTTAAGGAGGACACACCCACTTGATGGAGCATTGCGTGGCCAGTGAAATCGGTGGCAGTGAAGAGGTGGGCCAATGTGAATAAACGCCGTGGTAGTTATAACATGTGATGGGGAAAGTCAGGACATAAAATCTGTATGTTGTGATTATAATGATAAACATAGGATCCAGAAGGGAACATGACATCCTGTGAATAGCTTGTTAAGTAAGGGTGATGGAGATATCAGAAACATTAATTTTCTGTTATCTTAAAAGTTCCAGTCTTTCTATAAATTTATCTTCTATGAAGAAATAAAATATTATTATTGTATAATAATTCCCCCAAACCTGAAGAAGTAAAAATAGACGAGCATCTTTCCAAATTCTCTGCCTAGGGCTGGATTCTGGACGGCATCCCTGAAACGCGAGAGCAGGCTCTGATGATCCAGACCCTGGGCATCGTCCCCAGACACGTCAGTGAGTGGCCCCCGACCCCATGGGGCCCGTTCCCCAGAGCTGCAGCCCCCAGATCCACGAGTGAGCGCCCTGCTCTGTGTCACCAGCTCCCCGGTGTCCACCCTCAGTCCAGGCACCATCCAAGAGGGGTTTGATGGGCCTGTGACCCAGTGGGAAAAAAGAAGACCCAGCAATCGAATTTCCCACAGAGCTAAATGCATTCAGGGCTTGTGCTAAAAAAATGTGGGGTTTGGCTTTGACCCTGGTGATTCCCTGTTTCAGGAATCAGGTATCTGGGAAACTCTCTTTAGCCAGTAATCCCAAATGTGGTGAAAGTGTTCTGTACCAAGATGCTCATTGTGGTGTCATTTATGACAGGGACGGCGGTCCTCAGGCCAAGTTCAAGTGCAGGCTCCCTCTGTCCAGAGATAACACGTTTGTGTTCTGGGCCAAGAAGACCTCTCTTTTAAGGGATTATTGGGGATGGGAGGTGGTGGTTGGTTAATGTCCTCATGCAGCAAAAGCTCCGGAGCTCACCATGCTCCTTTCTCCTCTGCCAGTCGTGCTGAGCGCGCCAGACACGGTCCTGATTGAGAGAAACTTGGGGAAGAGACTTGACCCTCAGACTGGAGGTACGGCCGTCTCCACCCCGACCCTCCCCACCCCGGGGTGGGGGGCAGGTTCCGGAGGTGATCCTAGGAACAGACCCATGCACCCCTTACTGAGCACTTACCCTTAGGCTGTGGTGGTAGGCAGACCCGGATCTGTGGCTCCTGCCCCCTTTCTAGCTGTGGGATGCTGGGCGATTTCCCCAGCATCTCTGAGACTTGGTTTTCTCATCTGGACTTGAGAATTAAAATACCGAGCCCTGTCTTACAATCCAGTCACTGTGAGTATGAAATGAGGGCCTGCAGGTGGGTGCCTGGCTCAGAGTGAGCGCCAAGGTCACGGCTGTCCTGCCCTGGTGCCGAGGAGCATCATCGTTTCGTTACTGTTCAGAGTGATGTATGAGCAGACCTGGAGCCAAAGCCTCGCGCTGCACCACTGATCTGGGCGAACCAGCGCCCCCGGGACTCGCAAGCTCTGCCTCTGGGATGGTGGGTGACTAACCACGTACCCCTCCCCTTGCAGAGATTTATCACACCACCTTCGACTGGCCCCCTGAATCTGAAATCCAGAACCGACTGATGGTGCCAGCAGGCATCTCAGAGGGGGAGACTGCACAGAAGCTGCTGGAGTATCACAGGAACATCACCAGGATCCTCCCCTCGTACCCCAAAATCCTGAAAGTCATCCCTGCTGACCAGCCGTGTGTGGACGTCTTCTCCCAGGGTGAATGCTGACGGGCCCCTCCACCTTCCCGTCCTGGTGACACCTAACCTGGCGGCACTGCCAGAGGCCAGTGTCCAGGGTGTGCCTGGGACCCTGAGAGTCCAGTCGTGGGTGGCCCAGGCTCCCTGCGCAGAAACAAGTGTGGAGTCCCTGGGAGAGCCCCATCTAGAGATCCTGGGCTAATGGTCTACCCTCCCAAGTGGTCAGGTGATTTGACAGTGAGGGGGTGGGGCGAGGAGAGGTGAGGGGTGGGGTGGGAGGGACATGGAGCAAGAAGTTTTGACCTGAGTATGAGGGCCTATGATGAAAAAGAATATGAAAAGGAATATATATATATGTATAACTGAATCACTACGCTGTACACCAGAAATTAACACAACATTATAAATCAACTATATTTCAATTAAAAAAAAAAGAAACAACACGGTGAAACTGCAGAACACCAAAGGTAGAGGAAATTTAATAGCAACCAGGTGGCAGGGGGAGGGATAAATTAGAAGTTTGGGATTAACAGATACACACTACTATATATAAAACAGATAAACAACAAGGACCTATTGCATAGCACAGGGAACTATATTCAATATCTTGCAATAACCTATTATGGAAAAGGATCCGAAAAAAATAGGTGTATGCGTATGTATAACTGAATCATTTTGCTGTGCACCTGAAACTAACACAACTAACACAACATTGTAAATCAACTAAACATCAATTAAAATAAATACAGAAATAATTAAAAAAGATAAATAAAACAAACAGCCGTACAAACCAAACCCACCACCACCACAAAAAGCAAAAAACTGCAACACAGCCCGGGTGTCCTGAGTCCTCCGAGGACCGGCGCTGCGCTGCCGTCCAGAGCAATGACCAGTGTTGACAGCGCGTCCCGGGAGCTGGCTGCAGCAGCCCTGTGTGGGGAGCGGGGGGGTGGGGGTGTCTAATGAGTCCCGAGACTTTGGAGCCAGGTGACCTGACAAATCCCAGCCCCACCATCCAGCAAGCTGTGCAGTCTGCGGTGACTCTTTTACCCCCTCTGAACCTCAGTAGTGTCCTCCCTAAAATGGGAACAAAAATCCTTCCCTCCGCACCGACTTGGGTGAGGCTTTCGTGAGGTCCCAAAAAGCGTGTATCTACAGCTGTGAGCCCAGTAGCTGGTGCGGAGAAACGGCTCAGCAGACATCAGACATCGCTGTCAGCATGATTCAACAGCCTGTTCCAAAAGACAAGGAACCTTAGAATAATTCTGCCCCAGAGCAGCTGAATTATCATCTTTTTAAAGTATTGCTGAGCTTCAGCTGTCCCCGCGCCTGCTTACCCCTTCTACGCAGTGCCGGGTCCCTGACACCATGAACATAGCACCGCGGGCACTTAAGACACTTGACAGTTTACAGTGTCCTTTTTTGGTATATTCTCTCAGATCTCTTCAGGAAGTTTTGTTTTGGTGGGGAGGTGGTCTGAGCTCCCTGGACCGGCCCCCCCACTGGCCCCCACCTGCCAGTGGACTCATCTGAGCAACTTCGCTTTACTGAGAGCCGGAGACGGTGCAGCCTGGCCCTCCGAAGGGGTCAGTCAGTGGTGGAGGATGTCTGGAGAATGATGCTACTTTAAAAACTGCCAGGCGTGCGGATGCCTTATAAATTTCCAGTGATTTTGCATCTCGGAAGGGTCTTTAGTAGCAGACACTGCACTCTAAAGATAAACAACCACAACATTTATCTTATGCCATGATTCTGAATTTACACATTAATTACTTCCAAATTACTTAATTAAATTTAAAAGTTCAGATGATCGTTCATAAAGAATTCATGCCTGGAATTGTAAATAAAAATGTGAGTGTCTGAATATTAATTATTATTAATTAATAATGCAGAGAGATAAATTGAAAATTGGAATGCCAAATTCTCTCTGTGTTGTTTTTTTAATCTCTCTGCAGTGCATCCAGCAACCACATATTTTTAAAAAGAATAATTAGATGTTGAGACTGTCTGGGGGATCATTACTTCTAATTAACTTAGTTATTTGCTGTAAATTAAGCATCGTCTGTTAGCCGGCTGCTTCGCCTGTAGTGTTGGTGCCCTTCAGATGTGCCGGGTCACGGAAGGCCTGAGAAGCAAGGCAGCCTTGCTCGAATCTCTTCCTCCGGGTTAGTCTCAGCGGTGGAAAGTGCCCCCATGGCAGCGGGTTTGGGAGAGCTGCCCCAGCCCTGCCAAGTCTCTGTAAAAGGGGGACGAGAAGAACGCATCCCTCGTGGGACTGTGCTCGGATCAGAGCTGTTAAGGCCGGGAGAGAGTCTAGCTTGGCGGTGAATGCCTGCTCGCCGTAACGATGCTGACTGTCACCCTGACCTTGAAGACGGGCAGGTTACCTGTGCATTTAGCTCTAAAAGAGGGGGATCGTAGTGTCTCTGATGATCCTTCCAATCAAAAAAATCCTACAAGGATTGGCGAGTTCAAAATTTGCCCAGTGAACATCTCCCAGTGGGTCTCAATTTTGCCCTCCTACCCCCGGGGGACATTTGGCGACGTCTAGAGGCATTTGTGGCTGTCACAACTAGGGAGCACGCCACTGGCACCTGATGGTAGAGGCCAGGGAGGTGAGCCAGACGTCAAGAGTGCGAGGCTGGCAAACCCTGCCCCCTGCCACAGGCTGCAGGGTCGCAGGGTTCCTGAAGGCGGCATGTGGGCTCGGCCCCTCATCCTGGGTGAAATCCATTTGCAGGCAGGAAGGTGTTTCAGGGCCACCCTCAGCCGACCTGGCACAGAATGATCTGGGCCCCTGGCAGGAGGCGGGCCTGGGAAGGGAAACCGGGTTTTGATGGGAGGCGGGGTGGGGAGCTGATCCGCCCGCGGCCTCAGCACGCGGAGTGGCTGCCCTTTAAGGACATCCTCAGCCTGCTCTCACACCCCCTCCTCCACCCTCCGCTCTGGGTGGGAGGTGACCTGGTTTGATGTTCAGTGGCTTTTGGCATCCAGGGCTCCCCACGGCTCAGGCTTCTCACCCCCGTCTCCCCACTTCCTTGCTCATCAAATGCCGGGGGCACTGTGGGCCAGGGCCACACAGCCCCACCTGCCCGCTCCTGGGACCTGTTTGATCGCAGCCTCTTTGGAGGCTCGCAACAAAGTTGGTGTCACCGGAGCACGGCTGCCAATTATTCTCCACCAATTCCCGAGTCCTTTAGAAGTCCCCGCGTGCCAGGCCCCCGTGCGGCCTGTGCATTTATCAAAGTTCGTGTCTGACTCTAGGTCAGCCCGGTCCCAGGGCTTCAGGGTGAGGCTCAGCCTGGATACAATTTAAAATCTTCTCAACCCAATATTCGGAGTGTGTCCTGTGTCCCGGGACCAGCCCCCAACAACACTGCAGCCTTCCTTGGACCAGGAGGGAAGTGTGGACACCGTGCTGTGGGAGAAGAATTCCAGGGCAGGGCTCTGCTCAGAGGCTGGCTTCTGTGCATCATTGCCCCCTCCCTCCTTGGTACCCAGGCCGGAAGGGTAATTCCTCCCCCCGCAGCTTCGGCCTGTGGCTGCTTGGCAGATGCACAGAGGGTTTCCATGAAGCTGTAAAAGACAGAAATAATTCCTGCCGTCACGAGACCCCAAGCAGAGGCAGAGTCGGCTGGTTCCCCTTCTTTAGGACCAGGGTTTATTATCCTCACATATTCTCTCTTCCAGCTCTGACCTATGTCCAAAGCATCCACAGATCTAATGCCCCGTTCACCCCGAGGGTGCTGCTGTGCGGGCCCGTGGGCAGCGGGAAGAGTCTGCAGGCCGCCCTCCTGGCCCAGAAGTACGGCCTCGTCAACGGTGAGTGCCCCGGAGCCAGCCTTCCCGGGTTACGGAGCGGGAGGCGGAGGTCAGCGTCACCGCTCTTTCTTGCTCTCTGCTCTGAACCATTTCCCATTAGTCCATCTTTTCAGGGATAAGGGTTTTTCCTCCCAAAGGTCATTGCCATAAAAACATTAACCGATAAAAACATGTCCACAGCCCAGAGGGCTGGAACGTTTCCTGATCCTCCTTTTTCTTGTCCTTTGGAGCAGTGGTTTTTCTGTGCTCGGCCCCAGAGGTGCTTCCGTCCGGCCCCTGCAGTCTCGCATAATGGGGACCTGCTGTTTGTTTATCTCCTCCCGCCTCGCGTGGCTCCCCCAACCCGGGTCAGCGTGCTGACAGGCAGACGATTTCTGAACCAGGGGAAGACTTCTCGCTCAGCACCGTTTCAATGAATATTTTACCAGGAGGAGAGAAAATATTGAAATCAGTTCTCCAGGTCTTTCCTGGGGTGGTCCCAGGCGGTCGTGGATGCCAGCCTGGCTTCAGGAGGGTAAAGGGTGGAAAGGAGGCTGTAGCAGACATAGTGCTGGACGGAGGCAAAGGCACTGGACCCCTCCCACTTCAAATGCTCCAGGAGTCTAAGTAGCCCTGCTTTATTCACCAAGGGGACGTGAGCCCTGCACCCCACATATGTAAACATGCACCTGTAGCCCCCAAAGTGTGCACACACACCACACAGATACATGTGTATACTCTCACACACACTATATATATATATGTATATGTGTATACCATCCCAGAAAGATCAAGTTTGGAATAAAAATGCTTTCAGTTACGTCTCCTCCAACTTAAAATTCCAAAAACCACTGAGATTCCTTAGCCAGGAATCAATGACAGAAATCATACCCATAAATTGAAGGCTCAGAGAGCTGAGCAATTATTCTGATTAGTATGAAAAAAGTAGTAACGGTCGTATTCGTGTTTTAGTGAAAATACTAAAGAGTAGGATTCTGACTTGACGAATATGGAAAAATAGACTGGGCCCTTTAGGGAAAAAAAGGCTTTTACTTGTGTCAGTGGTTTTATTTTAATGGCATTATTCAGATGATTCCTCCTCCGTCCGAGTTTACCTCTTCAGAGTACCGTAAGGCTGCCTTTCCCACCAGGGGAAGGACGACCCCTTTGTTAAGAGCGAGCAGCAGCCTGCTGGCAGCTGCACCCGCGCGCTTGTGTAAGCGCCTGCGCTTCCTGCTCCGTGAGGACACGCGCGGGGCTGTAGGGGGCAGCCCCTTAACGGCAGAGGGAGGGCCTGACACCACGACGGCAGTACCTTCACATGGCGCCCAGCTTAATGCAACTCACTGTCACTCTGCTGGATTTTGCTTTTGCAGACGCTCTCATTCAAGGAAAGTATTTTTTAATCTATACTGTTTCCAGCACGCCCATCATAAAGAAATGAAATCACCTGCCTAGATTTTTTCCAAAAATGAAAATAAGAAGAGCTCATCGTGGTTTTTGCTTTGGAGCAGAAGGGCCATTCTGGGGCTCTTTGCAATAATTGAGCATTTGGAGACTAACCTAGAAAGTTCACATTTCTCAGAGATATTCTTGATAAATACAAGACATTGTGAGATTTCCATAAACCTATTTAGGGAGCTGTGGTTGGCAGAGGCAAGCACTGAGCTTGAGGTCTCTTGGCAGAGGCCTGACTGCACCCAAGGCTCCGGGAACCGCCTGCCCCACCCCACCCCTTCGGCCCCCGGCCTTCCTCTGACTTGGTTCTAATCTCAGCATCTATGAACCTCTCAGTCATCGGAAAATATCTCCAAACAAGCTAACATTCACACCAACACGGATCTCGTGTTATTGTAAACAGGCACATCTTTTTGAAGATGAAGATCACTCTTGATTAACATATTCGCTGTGCACATCTTTCGGTCCCGTGATTTCACACCTAGGATTTTATTCTGCTGAAACACCCAAATACTCGGCGAGAGATGTGAAGACTGTGTAATGAACAATAAAAGACAATCCCAGTCCTGTTCATGAGAGGGTTAGTTAAGTAAGTGATGGGCAGCTATTAGAAAGACACCTCCCGTAAAGTGCCTGGATGTCCATGATGTGTTGTTGCATGAGGGTGGGGTGGAAAGCAAGTTGCTCAGCAGTGTTCAGGGAACGGTCTCGTTTTTGTTCAAAAACATGTTAGCCTGTGCTCAGAAAAAGTCTGAAGGACCATCCGTATAGCAAATCGGTTATCTCCATAGAGCCATGTATTATCAATTCTGATTCTTTTTTCCTGCATCGAGCATGAATTTTCTAACCAGAAACAACCGTGAAAAATTCTGTTAAAATATGACTGATATTAGTCATTGAGTGCCTGCTGCACACAGTGCACTGTATTTGGTACACAGATGGGGACAATGTAGGGAGAATGAGAGGAACTTCAGGACAGAGGTGGGTCCTGCTGGGCTGGGGGAGGGGAAGGAGTGAGCCGAGGCAGGGCTGGTCCTGGCAGAGTCCCGGATCTTCTGTGTCTGCAGCCTTCGTACTTGGACCCTCTCGGAAGTCTTTCTTCGTGAGAGGTTGTAGGTTGAGGTGGCCATGCACGGGGGTTCTAAACCATCCTTTCCCGATAAAAACACTTACTGTTACACAGTTTTCTCAACTCTTCTTTAGCTGCATCTCACAGAATTTTAATACATTGTGTTTTATTATTCAGTTGAAAGTATTTTCTAATCTCCTTTGCGGTTTCTTTTCTGACCTGTGTATTATTTAGAAATGTATTGCTTGGTTTCCAAATATTTGGGAATTTTCCAGATTGTTGTCGTTGTTGAATTCCCTTGGGGTCAGAGAACACACCCTGTGTGATTTCAGCCTTTTGAAATTGATTGATCCCTTTTTATGGCCCAGCATTTGCTCTGTGTTGGTGAACTCTGCGTACGCTTGGAAACAGTACATACTCTGGTATTGCTGGATATCGTGCTCTAAGAACGCCAGTCAGGATGAAATGCTTGATGGTGGTGTTCACTGCTTCTTTGTCCTTAACGCTTTCTCTCCACTTATTATTTCAGTATCTGAGAGAGGTGCGTTAAACTCTCCAACTCTGACTGAGTTTGTCTACTTCTCTGCCAGTCTTTGCTCCATGTAATTTGAGGCTGTGATACTATGTGCGTGTACGCTAAGCACTGTCGTCGCTTCTTGATGAAATCATCCTGTTCTCTTGAGGCCACGGTCCTCCGCCTCTCCAGGAATACTCAGTTTCTTGACGTCTGCTTGTCTGATAAGTGTCCTCTGTTCTTTTTCTTTTAAACTGTCTGCCTTATTTTCTAAACATGTGACTTAGAGTGACACATAATTGGGTCCTGCTTTAAAAAGATTCAGTCTGACGTTTTCTGCCTTCTAGTTGAAGTGCTTAGTCCATTTCCATTTAAAGAAATTTTATATATAGTTGGTTTCAAGTCTGCCGTCCTGGTTTTCTGCCTTCTGTTTGTGTAACCTTTTCTTTGTTCTCCTGCCGACTTTTGGATGGATCAAATACTTTTTAGCAGTCCATTTTATTTCCTCTGCTGCCTGTTTAGCTGTATCTCTTCGCTTGTTTGTCTGAGGTTGCTCTAGGGGTTAGATGTCACCCCTCGCTTACCATGCTCTGCCGTGAGCTGGCGTGCCGCCTCCTCTGTGTGACACACGGGCCTTCCGGCCTGGGTTTCCCTTTCCCTCCTCGCACTGGCCCTTTGTGCTGCTGTTGTCACACCTCTACTTCTACATCTGTTGTAAACCCTACAACACATTGTAATTATTTTCGCTTTAAACAGTCTTTTTTTTTTTTGAAGTCAAGCAGTGGGAGAAAAGGGCTTCTATACAGACACAGTGTCAACACTTCTCACTCCTTTGTTTAGATCCAGGTTTCCATCTGATACCGTCTTCTTTCAGCCTAAAGAATTTCCCTTAACGTTGCTTGTAGTGCAAGTCTGCTGGTGAAATGCAGCTTTCATCTGTCTGAAAATGTCTTTGTTTCACCTTCATTCTTGAAGGATGTTTTTGCTGCATATAGAAATCTATGTTGACAGGCTTTTTTTCCCCTCTCAGCACTTTAAAGATGTCATCCCATTGTATTATGACTTGCATTGCCTCTGATGAGAACTCAGATTGTTTTTCTCTTTGTTCCCTTGTATATAAAGCATCTTACCCCCGCCCCTAGCTGCTTGTAACGTTTTCTCTCTCTCTTTAGTTTTCAGAAATTTAACTGTGATGTACTGAGGTGTGGTTTTCTTTGTGTTTTGCTTGCGTATCAGAGAGTCTTGGGTCAGTGGGTTGATGTTTTAAATCAGATTTTGAAATTCTCCTCCCATTATTTTCTCAGTATTCTCTCTCTCTCTCTCCCTTTCTCTCCCCTTTCTGGAATTCCAGTTACATGTATGTTAAACTGTTTGCTGCTGTCTTCCAGGTCCCTGAGGCTTTCTTCTTCTTCCAGTCCCTCCCCACCTTCTCTTGGCTTCAGTCTGGGTACTTTTTATTGCCTGTTTTCATCTCTTCAGATTTGCTGATTGCAGCCCATCCAGTGATGTTTTCCATTTGAGGTACTGTATTTTCCAGTTCTGGAAATTTCATCTGGTTCTTTTTTTTTTTTTTATAGTTATCACTTCTCTGCTGAGATTCCCATCTTTTCATTCATTTCAATTATCTTTTCTTTTAAAGTTTAAACATTCATAACAGCCATTTTGTAGTTCTTATGTGCAGCTTCTGACATCTGTGTGACCTCTTGATCTGATTCTGTGGCCTGCTTTCTCTCCTTGCAGGGGATCACAGTTTCCTGGTGTGTTTTATTTTGTTTTGTTTTGTATTTTGCATGTCAATTAGTTTTTTTTTATTATGTGCTAGACATCGTGGTTCTCACATTCTTGAGAGTCTGGATCGTGTGATCCTGCTTTGAGAATATTGCATTAAAAAGAATGGAGTTCTCACAGGCAGTTAATTTGCTGGAGGATCAACATAATCCTATTGAGGCTTATTTTTAGTCTGTGTTGAGGTGGGATTAGTGCTTTGTCTAAGGCTTGTGTATCCCTGCACCTACAGTGCGGCCTTTCTCAGGTCTCAGCTGAACGTCTGGGGTTCAGCAAGGTCTCTGACTCCGGCTGTCAGAGTGCCAGCACCTCCCTGCACAATGTGGGTCTCTACTCGGTTCACGGCTTCCCAGGAGCTTTTCTCTGCCAGGCCGTGCGGGGTCTCCCCCTACATGTGTCCAGCGCTGCACTGACCGGAGACGCTAGTGTGCCCTCGTGCAGATTCCCGAAACTCCTCCTCTGCACCCTGCCTTCCATCCGTTATCCTGTCCCACAAAGTCCAGCTGTCTCAGGGCCCCAAACTCCAGGCCTTGTTTTCTGCTGCTCTGGTTGGGTTCCCCTCTGCCCGTGCTGTGCTTTGCGAAGTGCCCATAGGCAGAAACCCAGGGTGAGTGCGATTCCCTTCTCTGAAGGATCACAGCCCTGTGCCATCTGCTATCAAGTGCCTGAAAAAGGGCTGCTTCATAGATTGTGTTTAGTTTTACGGCTTCTCGTGACAGATGGTAAACAGGATACCTGTTCCTCCTTCCTGGCCAGAACTAGAGGCTAAGCATACGTCTGATGTCACACAGACCTGGCTTTGCATCCAGCTCTGCTGCTCGCTGGCTCTGGGACCTAGAACAGCTTGGGTGCTTGGTCCCTCTTTGGCTCTCAGTTTCCTCGTCTAGAAGCAGCAGGTCGTTGTGAAGACCGAGTAACACAGCGTGCTTAGCACAGTGCTCGGCGTGTAGAAAGGGCCCGGCTTCCGTCAGCCTTTGTTATTACTTACGTCTCCCTTGGTGGGTGCGGCCGCCAGGCGCTTTGGATGTGGCCACTGCCACCACACAGGGAATGAAACAGATCACTGTGGAGGAATGCATCTCTGGCAGTGGTCGCTGTCTTCAACATTCACTTCATCCAGCTAATTTTAGGATCGCCTTTGGTTTCTTTAATACAGGAACTAAAGGCCTTAGCTTTAAAGTTAAGAAAGGCAAGGCTGTGCAATGAATAACTCCGGAAAACGTGGCTGGACCCTTCCAGCTTTGGCTATTAAAGGTTTTCATAGCCAAGGAAAGGGCAGCTGGGTTTATTCATTGCACACCTGTTTGCTGACGCCCCCATGTGTTGGCCCCGGCTGGGGTCTAGGGACATAGTGGTTCTCGTGATAGGAAGACGCCTGTGGTCCTTTTGTTATAGGAGATGGTCCTGTCTGTGGTCCCATCCTCCCCTGGGAAACACCATGGGTTCCCACCCCCCACCCCCTGCATAATAATAGTGTGAACACCAGCACACCCGTGGCATGTCATGTGGGTCCACGTGGTTCTCCACCCCGACATACATGCTCCACACCCGCCAGGGCTGCGCTCAGCAGGCCTAGGTGTGGCCGAGGCCCTACGGGGCCTTCTCTGGTGGTGACATCCTGTCACCGTCCATCTTTAATATATTCTTTGCCAAACGCAGTCTTTTTCATTCCACATCTTCCTCTTCGGATTCTTTTTTCTTTCCAATTTCTCTTTGATACTTACTTTCACTTGGACACACACCCACACTCAGAGAAAAACCCTTTTATATTTTTTTTGGTGGCCTTTCCCCCCCCCAACAGGCAGCACTGCGGGGTTCTTTTTTTTTTTCTCATTCTTCCTTCTGTTTAAAATTTAACGGGTGTCTTTCTGTTCCTCTCTCCTCCAGTCTGCTGTGGACAACTGCTCAAAGAGGCCGTGGCAGACAAGTCGAAATACTGCGAGATGATCCTGCCCTTTTTCGAAAAGGAGGCAGCAGGTAGGCAGGCTTCTCAGACCCGCCACCGCCTTCCCGGCTCTGGAGGGAAACTGCTCCGTGTGAGGCTTGCTGGGCACCTGGGGGCTCAGACTGGGGAAACAACTGGGAAATGGAAATGGGGCCTTTCCCCAGGTCGAGGCTCTGTTTTTGCTCCCTGGTTGGTCCTCTTGGCGTCTGAGGGTGTCCCGAGTGAGGGCAGTCCACAGATGCGACGTGTTTCACCAGTGGTGTGGGATGTTTCCATGACTCGAGAAGGCTTGCTTTCCGTAACTGTAAAATCAAGAGCCAGAGAGGCCCCAGGGCTGCCCCCATCTTTCGTCGTTTGGTGTGCAAACAGACTGTGGGCAAATGTTCTGATTTAATCAGCAGTCAGAAGCCGGGAGGTTCAGACAGCTTTGCAGAGATGAGGACGGACCAGCTGTTGGTCCTCAGGGGAGGTCATCTTCCCAGAGCCCCTCTGTGACCTCTGCTCTGAAAGCATTCCCTGGACCCCACCCCTGGGGGCACCTTTGAGATCATTCTGTTTGGTTTCCTGAGTCCTCAAATAAGCCACTGAGAGGAGACCAAGATTCCGAGGCCACGGAGCCAGTTCACCCCAGGCTGGGCTCCTATCTGGGGCGGGCGCCTCCGCACACTCACCCACGTCTCCCACTCAGGCGAAGTGCTGTGGCTCCTCCGGGCAGTCAGCACAAGCTCGTTATCAAGTCTGATATGAACAGGTACTTGCTGTGAAGAGAGCCGACCAGAAAGAAGCTGCCATTGCAAAGGATAATGCGGTGACGGGGGCACATCTGGGCGGAGGTGCGTGGCCTCCTCCTGCCGTTTTCTGGATGGAGTGAGTTGATGAGGAAGCACGGAACAGGCTGCTTGCTCCCACTGGCTCAGAGAGCCCCCCGGGGAGGGCGTCCTGGCCTGGCTCCCCAAGGCCCTCCTTAAGATGTTCTAGTCTCCGGGGTGAAGTTCACGTGAGGTGGAGGTGGGTCCGTCAGACACTGTGGCCTGTGTAGTGAGACCCAGTGATCCCAGCGAGCGTCTGCTCCCTCCTGAGTCACAGGGGCAGGAAGAGGACGGGGCGGGAGCAGGAGCCCTGGGCGAGGAGCTTTGCTGCCCCCCTTCCTGGTTCAGATGCCAGTGCTGCCCCCACCGGCCACGTGGCCCAGGCTTCTCGGAGGTGAGATGCGGGCAGGAAGCCCAGGTTGCAAGGTCCAGGATGCGTGTGCCTGGCACGCGGGAGCCACACTGTTACGGAGAGTGAGAGCGCGAGCCGCAGGGACCAGGCCTGACGCCAACGCAAGCACAGTCGCCCCCCAGCAATGCCCGCTCCCCCTTTACCGGGTGGGGTGCTGGTGCTCACCAGCACCGTAGAGCACATTTCTGGACTAAATGAGTGAATACAATCACGAGTTAAAGGATTTATGTCACTTTAAATGTGCGGCGCAGTATTCCAGCCGCACGGACTGGATGGTAATTTGTTTGGTTCTCCACGAGAGAGCGCTTCATAGCTCAGAAGGAAGGACAACGGCCAAGCAGTGTCGATGGTGCGTACATCTGCGGCGAGGGCGCGCAGGCTTGGACGCTTCTTGCAACTTCTCTGTACTTTTGAATTTTTTTCAAAACAAAAAGTTACAAACAACTAAATATTTAGGTGGTTTCCAAATCTGCGCTCCTTCCGTGGTACTATAACACACCCCCCGTACCTCCTCAGGTTCGCAGACAGCCCGATCATCATAGGGCGCATGGGGGCCTGCCAGCGGTGTGCCTCGCTGCATGGAGCTGAGGGGCGCCCTGCCACCAGCACCCGGGCCGCTCAGGCCTCCGCGGCGTTGCCGCCTCTGGGTGCTGTGCGGCTCTTCGCCGCTGGGACCGGCTTCGTGGTATGAAACGACACAGACGTGCTGTCTTTAAGTCCCGGAGGTTGGAAGGCCTAAAACAGCCACATTGGCAGGACTGCATGTCTCCCTGAGAGGTTCTCTAGGGAGAGTCTGTTTCCTTGCCTCTTCCGTCTGCCAGAGGCCCTTTCCTCCATCTTCAAAGCCAGCAGCGTCTGTGAACCTCTCTCCCTCTGACCGCTAAGAATAAGCAAGGAGTCTGCTCACCGGTGGGCCGAGAGGCAGAGCTGTTTCTCTGTGTGTGGTTTTTGTCATTTATTTTTGGTGTCAGCAGTGGAGACTGCGTGCACAGTTCCCAGTTTTCTATGAACGTGAGCGGGACCGCAGTAGCTTCCATCTTCACTGCTTTGTGCTAAATGTTTTCCTCCTCGGCCTTCTGTTTACCTAGACTACGTAGCGCAATCCTCCTGCACTTCCTACAAAATTAAAGACGCAAAACGGCAACAGCCAATATCATATCTTCCTAACAGAAGCAATAAATTCTGTCATTTCACTACTCCTGACCTCGCAGGGATAACAAAGGATGCGTTTACATCCATCACCGCTAACAAGGTCTCCTTAGTGGGCGGTGGTGATGCTGAGAAACCAGCGCGCTCGGCTGGCAGAGGGCAAGCGGGGGACCCACCCACCCGGATCTGAGGGGAGGGTCGGACTGAACACGGGAACCTCCAGTGACCACAGCTGGAAGCTTCCTGAGCCCAGCATTGCTGGCGTCTGGGGTTTGGGGTGGGAATCGGCCACCTCACAACCCTGTGCTCCGAATCCATTAGGAGACAGACCCAGAGTCTGCTGGGAGCGCTGGATAGAGAATGTGGCAGGGATCTGAGGGCTCGGGCCCCCAAGTCCAGGCCCCAGGATAGGCCAGCCAGGATGCAGAGGTGGCACCTGACAACAAACGGCCACACCCTGCGGGCGGGGACGGGGAGCCCAGCCCAGGCCTCCCCAGGAGGGGCCCGGCTGAGTGGAGGCGGAGGTGGGAAGGGGGTCCCTCCTCCACACTGAGGACGAGGGCCAGCCAGCTGTGGGGGCAGCCGGAGGGACAGGGCCAGTCGGATGAGTGACTCTCCTCTCTGGGCAAGGGTGAGGCGGCGGCAGAGGGAACTCATCCTCCCAGCACTGCCTGGATCAGGAGGTCCTCCCAAGTACTCGAGAGCAGCCGGCTCATCCTGAACGCTTTCTGCCCGTGGACAGAACTCCTGGGAGGGAGAGACACAGTGCTACCACCCCGCCGCCTGCTGGGCCACTGAGGCGCCTCAGGCCTCCCTCCTCGGAGCCCTGGGCAGACACCTCTGCCGAGTGCCAGCGGCCTCCTGGGAGCCCCCGGTCTGTGTTTTCACACATGAGACCCAGGAGGTTCCAGAAGCCCTGCGAGGTCCAGGGAGTGCAGAGACGGGGCAGAGATGCCTGTAAGGGTGCAGAGGTCTCCCCCCAAGGGCAGAGCGCCAGCACCGTGGAGCTGGCAGATGCCGCCGCCGGAGCGTCCTGCCGTGTAGAAGCCCACCCTCAGGGCCGCCCCCTCCAAGCCAGGCAGTCGGTGCCCTTCCGGGGGCCGGATCTCTTCTGCTGGGGACTCTGCCCCATGCTCCTGGCCACGCCTGCTGCCCGTCTCCCCGGGGTTCCTGCCCTTGCAGGCTCCTGCCCTCTCTCCACTTGCCTCGGAGCTGCAAGCCCTGGGGACTGACAGTGTGCTTGTCACAGTGTCGCTCGGCCCCCCTGCTGTCGCCGTCACCACCAGCAGCTCAGAGGATAGATCCAGATGTCATCTTTCTCCCCGCGGAGGCCCTTCCCCTCATTCCCCCCGAGGGGCCGTGCGATGCTGTGTCCCAGTCGTGACCTCCGCAGACTTAGCTGTGTTCTTTTTTGTCCTCACAGGTGCTGCCAACACCTTCTCCTTTCAAATCAGTGGCAAAATTAATAACGGTGTTGTTTTCCCGTCTTTCCACATTTACTGGGCCAAGGACCCCAGGGCCCTCTCTCAGCCCGTCCCAAATCTCTTGATCTTAGGCTCTTGGCGTCAGCACCGTGGACAGAGGGTTGGGCGGATGCTTTATCTTGTGCTCTGGAATTTGAAATTGGTCTAACCTCCTAGACTCATTCCGATTCTAGCCGCGCCGAGCACAGCAGACACGTTCCCTGGGGCTCCGCGTGGCACTCCGTGTGCTACAGCGTCCATGGGAGCCGGGCGCTCTGACACAGGGTGGAGCCGCGCGTCACGCAGGCTTGGCTGCCGGGAAGCTCCCGTCACTTTTACGTGGGAACAAAACAAGTCAAGGCTTCTGGCTTCTGCTTTTGCTTATACGCTGTTTAAAGTTCGATGGTTGGTACTGGCGGGCTCCGGGCCAGGGTGTCCTGTGGCCGTGCGTGCAGATGTCCCTTCCTTCTCCCTGAAATCAGGCAGAGGAGCATCTGGGTCTCAATCCTCTGCATCATCACAGTGGCCACTGCCTCCCCAGGGCGTCCCCAGCTCCTTCTCTGGCCTCGTTGCTCCAAAGGGCCTCTGGGGCTGACATTTCTTAATCCCACAAACCTAGAGCTTCCCGATGGAAGCACTTAATGTAGTTTCCCAATTTTCACTTAATACAAAACCAGCCCTTCTTAACGGCCTCAACTCACCTGAGCAGAAAGAAGTCTGCATTGCTCTATTTTTAGGCCTTCTCCGGGGAATCTCAGTCATGAATTACGGTCCCATGGCTGCTGGTGGTAGGTCTAACCTAGTTGCGGGTGGCTGGGTCTGGTTGGCGGTGCCCGCCCTCTCCCTGGTTCAGGAGGGTGCCTCTGCCCTGGCTCTGGCTGTGCTTTTCCTCGAGCGTTGCTTGGGCTGTCTCTGCAGGCCGGCTGCCCGGGGAAGATACTAACGCAGCCAGAGGTGTATCTCACCCTCGTTGTTTCCGTCTTTGCTCTGAGTGTGTGAGATGTTTGTCTCGGTCGGTCCACACTGTGCTCCGAACACGCTGGAATTGTCAGGTGGGGGAGCCACCAGTGAGAGCGTGTCCCCGGGGTGGGGTTTTGAAGTCAGACTTTTCACATCTCCTGTCGCTCCAGGAGCGGACAGGAGAACTCTGTGTTCCAGCATCTGCCACCCTGGCTTGTTGGCCAAGTTACAGTGAGCCC